ATTCAATTTTTTTTTTCTAATTCATTTTTAAACTTATATGGGTACATTCTTTTTTCTTTGATTTGAGAATGTATCTATGTCAAGTTTAATCGAAGAAATTTACTAATGTTGTTAAGCCTAATAGTTTTTGTTTTTGTGATTTTGAAGAATGTACCGATGTTTTGGATCTATAATTTTCCGGTTAATAAAACACCCCGACCCGGAATGTCCACCGGGACTCCAAATCGACTTGTCCTGGCCGACACTAGGAGGGTGACGAAGCCATAAGGTGTAGTGATGTGGAAAATGTGAATAAATTTAAACATGAAAGTGCCAAAATATAAAAGTGTGCTTGTGAGCGGGAATGAACCCATTTCACACATGATCTCAGAGTATAAGAAAGTACAGTAAAGGTAAATGAGGAATTATACCGTCGGTAGAATTCCCACAACAACATTTTGCCAAAAATCCTCGTCGACACGAAGCTTTGCCACTAATACTTGGAGGGGCGAAAAATAAGGGTGAGTGGGCCTAAAAATAAAGTTTTATAAAAACCTTTTCGAAAACATTATGACCTCTCACCATAAAACAAGTATAGTTTTCAAAATATACATACTACGTATAATATGAAAATACTTACCGTAGCCTAAAAATAAAGTTTTATAAAAACCTTTTCGAAAACATTATAACCCTTTGCCGTAAAACAAGTACAGTTTCCAAAATATACACATTACTTATAATATGAAAATACTTACCGTAGCCTGCAATATCTCAAGACTTCAATACGTCACAAAAGTCGTAGATAAGCATTTAACTTATAGTAATCATAATATCTCACAGAAATAAATATATCACATCGAGTGCTTATTGACACATGCTGACACACGAGTTCATGCAGAGGTATTTTGACATGAACAGGACTAGGTGTAAAAATGATTTACGCTATAGTACTATAACCACGTGAAGACTGGCGCTATGCGCATTACATACAAGTCCTAATTGGCTATAGCAATTTAGGACATGATTGGCACCTATAATGGATCCAAACTGAGCGTACGGTGCGATGTGAACATACACGTGAAAGATTAGCCCTAGTCTGGGCAAGTACAACACTAGTGCAGCACACGATGAGTAGATAATATAATTATAATCATATAATGGTAAATCGACAATTCAAATCAACCATAACACTATTCATGGCCACAAATATAATTAAAGCATCCCATAATAGTACGCATACATGTGCATCCTGCAGGATTTAGAATAATTTCGTAAATTCCATCATTTCGTTAATTCTTATAAACATTCGTCTAATCTAGGCATACATAGGAAATCTTTTTTAAAATGTATAAATGGAAACTAAATAAATATATAATATTTAAAAGCAAAGACCCGCTCACAGTTACTTGCGATGTCACATCCGTTGAAGCTAGGAAGTCGGAGTCTCCGATAGTAATTGCACCTAAGCATAAATTGAGACCCATTAGTAAAACTCAACTAAAACGATTAAATTTAGGAAAATGGAGTGCATATTTGGAATCAAAGCATCAAAATATGCTAAGAAGGGCCTCGGACAATTTTTTGTAAAAAGTCAACAAAAAGTCAACTATCAACCTTAAAAGTCAATCGAGCTACCCAGGTGGTCAACTATGTTAAAACTTTAGAATTTCACTAAATAGATGTCAAAAATGGACTCGAGGCATTGAAATTAGCCTAAGAGGGTTTTCGAAAAAATTTCGAAAAAGTCGACACAAGGAATATTCCAAAGAATATTCTAGAATATATTCAAGGTCCATTTCAGAAATGGGCCGGATCGGGTTTATGGGCCAAGGTTTGGGCCTTTTTATTTAATCAGGTTGGGTTGACCTCATTGGACAAGCGGGTTGCACAACGCTTGCCGGACCCAACAAGGAGAAAGCCGGATTTTTGGCCAAGAAGCTTCTCGGCTCCCTTTAGCCTCAAATCTCAACCATTTCTCACATTTTATGTACCAAAATGAAGCTTAATAGAAGAAGAATGGAATTATACCATCACTAGGTTTTTCCGTGGCCGGAAAAGAGTGCAACACTCCCAAGTTCGCCAAAAACTATGGGGAAATTTCCCCCGTGTTGTTTCTGTGCCAAAACCCCCACCAAAACTTTAGGAAAGTTACAAATACAAACCAAAAACATGATCCAATAAGGTTTGAGTTATTTTTGAGACTCACCCACATTGAAACCGTGAGGTCCTCATCGGAAGATATAGAGGTCGAGTTATGGGGTTTGAGTTCATAACCTTGGTTCTAGTTCTGGGCTGGAACATTGATAACCTTTATCGATGTGGCGAGATTTGATGGTGGATTGAAGGTTTGGCTTGCTGGCGATGGCGAGTGGTGATGGTTTGGGGCGGTTGCACCCTCTTAGTGCTTGCTAAGGAAGAAGAGAGAGAGAGAGAGAGTTAAGAGTTTGAGAGAGAGCGGAAGAGAGAGATGTCCCAGAGAGTGAGGATGAGAGAACACGGGGCCAAAGGGGATAAGAGACCCACGTGGGTGGGTCACCATGCAGAAAAATCATATAATGAAAAATATTAAAATAATAAATGGTAGTTTATCTTGAATAATGAATTTTCCAAAATACACTTGGACTTAGTAAGTCTATAAAATCTCCGTCGTAGCTCCAAATTCAATTCTGCTTGTGCCCATGTGTTTGTATCTTCGAGTACTATACAAATACTCTAAAAGAATAAGTCATACATCTCTCTAAACGATGGTCAACGGAAGTCAAAATCCTTACATTTAGGGGCATTTCGTCAATTCACTCATTTAAAATTAATAAAATCGTAAAGTTAGGGATGAGTTGTTACAGTTAATTTTGATGAATGTACTACACACACACACACACACAATGGTATATTTGTATTTTAATATTTTTAATCCCACAAATTGTGGTTTTTAATTTAAAATCTCATTAATATAAATGACTATAAGTTTCAATTTTTAATTAAAAAAAACATAGTAACATACATAGAAATAAATTATCACATTAATTTCAGATACTTTGATCAAAAATTGAAAACCAATAAGGTTTCAGTCAAAGAATATTCATAGTTAGAGACTACATCCAAAGTCTTCCTTTTATTTATTTATATTTAATTTTTTTTTTTCAGATAGTTAATAGTATTTAAAGCAAAGTTAGTGATGAACATATGTCAACCTCGGAAATAGGCCACAGAGGGACTTGGGTGCAAGCGATTTGCACTCATTATAAAGACCTATTTTATAGGTCAAAACTGTTAGGGTCGGCCAAAACTCCAAAGCACAACATCCAAAGCCATTCGTGCTGATAACATGTTGGGAAACTAATTACTGAGAGAGTGAATATAGAGAGGGCTAGCTAGAGAAAAGAAAAAGAGAGAAGGGCTTGACGAATTGTGTGTGTAACTCCTCATGTCTAATGCCTTAATTTATGCTAAGCATGATAAGCTTCCTTGCTTTTACAAGTAATACAAAGCATATGAGGATTTGATTTTCCAATCATATTGAGATTACTGCTCTAAGTATACACAATCACACATAGTTATAAATACCATTTACAGCAAAAATAATTGCTTGCATTATCTAGAAACAATAACTTGAACTCAAAATAATATTATTTTGGTGAATAAGATGTTGGGTTCTACCTTACTACACAAGTTTAAAACTTTTCCCTCTCATAAATTAGTAAAAGTTTTGATCCCTATCTTTAATAATAATAAATTATTATTAAAAAAAAAAAAATTCTCCTAGGAACTCGTTACAATTTAGGCCTAATTAAATCAAACCTACTGTCTTGCATGTCATGTCGGCTGGAATCGGATCCCATGTAGATCCATCTTGAAGATTCTATGAATTTTCACATTTTAATAATTCATTATACATTGTACGGTCAGAAATTATTTGATTTTTTTATTTAAAAGTAAATACAAGTAATATTTGACGAAAAATGACTATACGATATACGATAAACGACTAAGAATCTTCACAAAATGAATCCGAAGAAATACTCTTCCATGTCGGCTAACGAGGTGCTATGACTCAAATTGCAATTTTGTAATTTGACTTAAAAGTAAGAATCTTGATTGAAAATGCTTTTACATTACGATAGCAAGCTACAATGCACACCGCAATTCCACTTATCAAACTAAAGTTCAATAATGAGTCTCAATCAACTTCCACGTAAAGCATATATTATTGTAAGCTACAACGCACACCACAATTACACTTATCAAACTAAAGTCCAATAATGAGTCCCCTCAACTTTCATAGAGAGATTTTTTCAATGTGACTAGAATATAGAATGGTACACCACATGTTACTATATAAATGATATAATATGTGTGTTACAAATTTAATAACTTAAAAATAAAATTTTTTACTATCTATATAAAAACATGTGATATACCACTTGTGTTCCAGTTCCAATGAATTTTTTTTCACTTTCATGGAAAACATGTATTTTCCTAGATAGTCCTAGATATGCCAAATAATTGGCTCTCGAAAGTGTGCAATTATAACTTTGATTATTAATTTTAAAAATATATTTGCCATGATGTGGTCACCCATGCACGCACATATATGTTGATCCAAACCCCCTATTCACGGAAGTCACTCCCCTTTTTTATGTAAGTAACGCTATTCTTATCATAATTTTATGTCATCTTAGGTGGCGGATGAGTTGAACAAGTTCTATCATTGAATTTCAATCTTTTTATTAATTAAAATACTTAAATAATTTTAGATGGAAGAATGAGACTCCTTGCATACCACAATCATTATTTAATTAACAATCTTTTTATTAATTATTGATTAACATTTTGATTAAATGCTAATTAATTTAGATGATGTGGTTGTCCAACTCATTTGCCACCTAAGATGGTAAAGAAATGTGGTATAAAATTATGGTAAGAATAACATTATTGTTTTTATTTTTGGACACCCTAATGTTTTTTCCACTTCTTCTCATGCTACACCAAGCAACACCTATATAAACCAACCTCGATCTCATCCTCTCTCACCAATTCCCACCACTCTTTCCCATCTATCCGATCATTTCAAACTCTAAATGAACTCAGTTCCAACTTCAATGAACCCGATCATCAGCTGGTGGATGTTTTCACTTGAAGTAATTTCACATTTGGGAACACAAACCTTGTTCACTCGATTCTTTTGCTTGGCCGCATTTATATCATTTCTATGTCTCAGTCTCTTAACCTGGGCTTTCTCCAGCGGAGGCACAGCCTGGAAAAATGGAAGGAACCAAACGGGTCGAGTTTCAATACCAGGACCCCGAGGCCTCCCTGTATTTGGCAGCCTATTCAGCTTGAGTCATGGTCTTCCTCATCGTACTTTGGCATGCTTGTCTTCTAATCTAGCTGCCACTAAACTCATGGCCTTCAGTTTGGGCATAACCCCTGCTGTTATTACCTCTGACCCTGATATTGCTCGAGAAATTCTAATCTCTTCCCACTTTGCCAACCGTCCTATTAAGCAATCCGCTAAGTGTCTCATGTTCAGCCGAGCCATTGGTTTTGCACCAAATGGACCATACTGGAGACTTCTGCGAAAAATTGCGTCTACTCATCTCTTCACTCCTAAACGTATTTCAGCACACGAAGCTGGACGACACATGGACTGTCACATCATGTTGAGGTTCATTCATAATGAACAAACGCTACGAGGAGTTGTTGGTCTGCGAAAACATCTTCAGACTGCTGCTCTCAACAACATAATGGGGACAGTGTTCGGCAAGAGGTATGATGCAACATGCGACCATGCTGAGGTTAGAAAGTTGCATGAGATTGTAAGAGAAGGGTTTGAGCTTTTGGGTGCTTTCAATTGGTCTGATTATCTCCCCTGGCTAAACAACTTTTACGATCCTTTTTGTATCAAGAAACGTGGCTCGGTTCTTGTTGCTCGTGTTAGAGAAGTGGTTGTGCAAATTATTGAAGAGCACAGAATTGGGGGGTCCAAAAGGGTGTGCGATAATTCGGACTTTGTTGATGTTTTGCTTTCAATGGATGGCGATGAGAAGCTTGAACTTGATGACATGGTGGCAGTCTTATGGGTTCGTATAAAGTTTCTACTCATACTTTCATTAATTTTTACTAAAGGTTACTGTTCAGTATGAAAATGCACATTTACTTTTACTACATTTTTTTAGTTACTTTTTTGTATTAATGTGATAAACAATTAATACTGTATATAGCGTATATATAGGCTAATGCCATTTAAACATACAACACTGACATACTCTTTAACATTACTCTTCATAATTAATGATACATTAGGTAACCAATGAATAGGGTACATTTCTAACCTCTCCTCAGCGATATACACTATATATTAATTCTTACCAGCTTTGTTTTGTATCAATTACAGGAGATGATATTTCGTGGGACTGATACAATTGCACTTTTGACTGAGTGGGTCATGGCTGAGTTGGTTTTGAACTCGGATGTGCAAGCGAAGCTTCGCCATGAGCTTGAACTAGTTGTAGGAAACAAAGTTCTCACAGAAGCAGACTTTGCTAACTTACCCTATCTCCGAGCTGTGGTGACCGAGACTCTACGTGTACATCCTCCTGGGCCCCTCCTATCATGGGCACGGCTATCAACGTCGGATGTCCAGCTCAGCAACGGCATGGTGGTTCCCACAAATACAACCGCCATGGTCAACATGTGGGCCATTACCCATGACCCAAACATATGGGAAGATCCATTGGTGTTCAAGCCAGAGAGGTTCTTGAAGAGTGCGGGTGGTACTGATATGGATGTGAGAGGAGGGGACCTTAGGCTTGCACCATTTGGGGCAGGTCGTAGGGCTTGTCCTGGTAAAACCCTAGGGCTTGTGACGGTGAACCTTTGGGTGGCTAAGTTGGTGCACCATTTCAAATGGGTTCAAGATGTGGCTAATAACCCCGTTGATTTAAGTGAGGTGTTGAAGCTTTCATGTGAGATGAAGAACCCTCTCACTGTTGTGGCTGTTCGAATCGAAGGACTAGCTTCTGAGTAAGTGGAGCTAAGGGTTTAATAAAACAACGGAGGCTGTGTTGGTTACTTATGTAGGAAAGAGTTGTACGGTGTAGAAGCTCATCCTTCAATAATCGCTCTAATATATTTCTTCGTATTTTTCTGTCATTGCAAACACAACTTTTTCAGTTGCCTTCACTAATTAATTAAGTGAATTTTGCATAATATAAAACACAAAGATTTCTGGAGGTTTTGTGTGTTTGAATCACGCAAAATTGATTAATATTGCAAACACATTAATCAAATTATATTTGCTGCATTTTCTTTTTTTATTAACTGCATCAAACTTTTGTATACGAGAATTTAGAGGAACGTCATATAGAGGCTTCACATATACTAAAGCTCGTCCGAAAGTGCTTTTAAATGCCTAAAAGCACTTTTAGTAAAAATATTTTTAGGTTTCAAATGTGCTTCTTGTAAGAAGCACTTCAAGTGTTTTGTTTACGATTCAATTGCATTTTTACTAAGGATTAGTTCCAAAAATATTTTCACCAAAAACCCCTTTAGACATTTTAAAGACACTTCCAAACGAGTCCTTACTCTCACGAGCTCCTCCATTCTTCACTATAAAAGTTTCCATTCCCCAACTCAGGTGCAAGGAAAAGCAATGATATAAAGGATGATCTACTTATTTCTTTATTTATATAGAGCATATTTACCACATGAAACTTAACATAAACTTCACTGTGATTAAAAAGACTTCTATATGTCATGACATGGACAATTACTTTAGTCGGGCCCAATAAACGTCTATGGACACCTATATATATGTGTGTGTTTTCGATGTTCTAAAAGATGGTAGGCGCTAGTTGGACTAAGGTTAGGGCCTAACGCCTTGCTGGCTAGGCAAGGGCTTAGGCGGACTAAACAGATTTATATAAATTTATTATATCGTATAAATAAGTGTCTTCTTATTCTTAAAAAATACATAATTTCATTGAGACACATAAACTGCAAAATAAAATGACATATAGTTTATTTACTATTAGAACATAATGAAAACATGGGGAACAAGCATATAATGTGTGTTTATCTAACTATTCAACAAGTCTTTTACAATTTATTGAAAAAATGAAATGCAAAATGAAAGTTATGTATTTTCTGTCCTATTGAGAGTAGCGACCTAGGCGGGTCTGGGTAGGCTAGGCTAGTGCCTAGGAGGTCTAGCCGGGTGCCCAAGCAAGTGTAGACGACCCTTCTTAATTTTCAAACACCTAAGGATTAATTGGGGCAGTGGCACGCTAGGTGGAGACTTTCAAAACAATATGTGTTTCTAAGAAAACCCAAGTTATTCTTCTCCTTCTTTGAAACACCCACAATGTTTTACAATACGGAAAACTTAACCTTCTTTAAAATTCTAAAACAAAAACTTATAAATAAGAACTCTATTACATATTGATTTGGGTGTCCAAAAAGATTAGTATTGAGTGTATATAGAATAACTTTCCAAATACAACTACTGTTCTAAAAATCCTCGCTTAGGTGTTAGGCGGTTGGCCATTACCCTAATTAGTCCTTAGGCATTTGACAATTAAGAAAGTGTGCCTCAAGCCGCTTAGGTGTCCACCTAGCCTACTTAGGTGCCTTCATAGCCCCCTAAAACCCACCTAGGTCGTGACTCTCACTTAGACAAAAAATTGATAACTTTCATTTTGCATTTTATTTTGTCAAGAAAATGCAAGAGACTTGTTAAATACTAGGATGAGTGCTCATTATATGCTTGTTACCCATGTTTGCAATATGTTCTTATACTTTATAATATGTATGTTATTTTATTTTGCAATTGATGTATCACAACACAATTATGTGTTTTTTTTTTAAATATAAATAGGCACTTATTTACACAATATATAATAAATTTACTTAAATCCGCTGAGTTTGCCTAAGCTCTCACCTAGGTCCTAGCCCGCCACCCAACTAACGTCTAACGTCTCTTAGAACCTTGAATCTAACTATTAATAGGAATCTTAACCTAACTGCTTTCCTTTATATATTGCTTTTCAAACCTCTAATAACAATTAATAAAAAAACTAACAAAATTATAAAAAGTGTTATAAACTTCTTATTTAAATGTGATTGTGTAAATCCTAGATTATATTTGATACTGGTTATTCTTTCCTATTGGGACTTGTATTCCTTGGAGGAGAATGATTCTTCCCTCCCTTATTACTATAAATAAAGGCACTGCGTATGAGGAATAACACATTATCTACACAATCCTACAAACACATCTCTCTCTATTCTCTCTTTGTGCCATCGGCCTCCTCTCCCCTGTCAGATTAATATGAGCCACAACACGTTATCAGCATGCTCCGACCACTGCGCTTAGGAATCTGATGTGGAAGTTTTTTGCATCAAAACAATTCATCAAAATCATTACGCATTCAGGTTCTTTCAAAACAACAATTTTTATCTCGATAATTTTGCAGCCCTGATGGCATGAACGTTCACCATAACGCATGACCCGACTTTACGTTTTTCAAATTTTAGATTCTACATAAATTGTGTATGCATTATATCCATAATTGTTGAATTATGTGAATTTGATATTTGCCATAAATAGCATCAAATATACGCTTATGCATTGAATTCTATGTTGAATATGCATGCAATTGAATTAATTTATAATCTAGAAATAAAAAATAGGGTTTATCAAAGCCCATCTCGTCACCATCCTATACTGCGAGCCGCTGGCTTCCAAGCTGTGTTACGTTGAGCCACCAGCACCAGCCCTGCAGCCTTTGTGGTTGAGCCGAGTCGCGAGACCATGAAGTCAGAGCCATAGGCTCCTGGTTTAAAACCCAGAAAAACCCAACCCCTTCCATGGCGTCTCCACCATCACAAGTGGGCCTACAGCCCAACCTTGACCTTGGATCATCGTCTTGACGGTTTGAAGGTCGTCCACTGACGTCGATTGATCGAGATTCCTTTGAATCTCATTGGATTTTTTTCTTTTTCGAAAATTCGATTTGAATTTCTAAGGTTTTTTTTTGTTGAAATGTTGAGATTTTTTTCTCTCTCTATTCATATTTGTGATCCCCGCTGATTCACAAACTTGCCTCGAGATTCTTTTTTCTTCCAAAACACGACTTCCTAAAGCGGCGGCGCCGACCTTCGTCCCTAGTGACCACACCCAGCGCAGCTGTGGTGCTTTTTGGTTTAAACCCAAGCCTAATTGGGGCTTGGTTTTCTTGGCCTGAGAAATTTTTTTTTCTTTTTTGGGCTCGCCTACAGTGGCACAAGCCATTGGCTCAGCCCAAACGTGGCACCAGCCTGTAGAGCTATGGTGTCTCTGTGTATAGAACCGTACCGGATCCTAGCCTGAAACTAGTGAGTCGGTACACCTGTACTGAGACACACCTGATCACAGCCCCTCCATGGTTGCGATGTTTCCTTGTGTTGCGATGTATAGGAATGTGTCCCCCAAGTACACAGATGCTGCAAAACAGCAGAGCACACCTCCGTATAAGACTTGCAGTTCTAGCTTGCTCATCACCGTACTAAATCAGAGCTATTTTTAAGCCTTTTTTCTTAGGCTTATTACCCATATTCCCAACCCATGTTTTTGGGTTTGGGCTGCACAGTCCAAATTTGCTCAGCCCACCCATTGGCTTTGGTCCCTGTTTTTGGCCCTCGCGTTTAATTGTTTATTTTCATTTAGACAATTTGGGTTTTATAATGTTTCACCCACACTTCAATTATAACTTTAGACTTGAAGATTTATTTGCATATTTTCTTGTTGCATATTTCTGTATATATATTTGTGTTTGTCAGCAGGAACATATGAACCTGAAGTTCATAATTCTTTCAAAACCTGAAGTTTCTAGAAACATGCCTTGTTTGAAAACCTGAAGTTTTCCTTAAAAACATCACCTATGAAAACCCGAAGTTTTTCATGTAAATTTAAACCAATAAATGTCTATTAGAACTTGAATGTTCTACTTCTATGTGAATGGATTGAATTTTTTTTTTTCCATTACACTAACCACATTCTTATCCATTTATTTTGTGATAGGGACATGTCAAATTTGAACAAACTCCACTTCACCACTTTAGAGGTCTCAGGAAGAAAATACCTCAAGTGGGTCCAAGATGTGAAGCTCCACCTCACTGTAAAGAATTTGCATCCCACCATTGAAGATGAGACGGACAACCTTATTGGTGAAGCTGAGAAAGCCATGGCCATGATCTTCATTCGAAGACATGTTCATGATGCATTGCAAACCGAGTACCTTGTTGAGGAAGATCCACTGAGCACTTTGGTCGTTTTGGTTGATCGCTTTGATCACCAAAATGACATCTTCTTGCCTAAAGCGAGACATGACTGATATCATCTACGCTTGCAAGACTTTAAGTTTGTGAATGAATATAATTATGACGTTTGTTGAATTTGATTACTTCTCAAGTTTTGTAACAAGACCTTGACTGAAGGGGATCTCCGGGAGAAGACCTGTTTGACCTTTTCTGCCACTAATATTGTCCTGCAGCAATAATATAGGGCTTATAAGTTCACTAAGTTTTCAAATTTAATCTCTATTTTACTTCTCGCTGAAAAATAGAATTAGCTATTGATGAAGAATTATCAAGCTCGACCTACTAGGGCGACTACTGTGCCTGAAGAACATTATAGCACCAACCAACACTTAAAACACCAACATAGGCATGGTAGGGGCGGCTTCCGTTAAGGTTAACAAAGCCAAGGCTCATCTAAGGGAGGAAACAAAGCCCAGAAGCTCGCTAACCTTGCTCCCATGGCCCTAAACTTCAAGAATAAGGGCAAAGCACCTGAAACCTTGGATGTGGACATGTGCTATTGCTGTGGTTCAAATGACCATTGGCCTCGTGTTTGTGGTGCTCCCAGAAAGTTGTAGTCAAATATCATTCTCGTCGTAAAAGGTTAGAATCAAACTTTATGCAAGTGGATGAACTAGAGAGTACCAAGATGGAGATTTCTGACTTTTAAGAGGCTATTACCCCTTAGAATCTTTGACATAAACAATTTTTAGTTGCATTTAGAACACTTGGGGGTCGAATTCCACCTAGTGGCCAAACCCCCTCTTTGTTTTTTTTTTTTTTTTTTTTTTTTGGTTTAATTTTGTACAATTTCC